ACGAGTTTAATTTGGTCTTCTTTTGCTAGTTTTTAAGATGGAAACTTAGACAGTCAATTTGAGGACTTTAAAAAAAATCTAATATGAGCACTTAATACTATAAATTTCTTGCTAAGCACCACTTTAGATGCACCCCTACAGTTTTCATTTTCATTCAATTCAAACTCTCCTAATTTCCCTGTGTCATTAATCACATTCAGACAGTATAGTTTAGTGGCTAAAAACTAGTCTCTGGAGTTCATCTGCCTGAGTTTAAATCTCATCTGTTGCTCCTTCTACCTGTGTGAGCTTTGACAAATTGCTTAACCTCTCTGGGCCTCAATTTCTCCATCTACAAAAAGGGAATAATAGTATCTCCTTCACTATACCACCCTATAAGTCCTCTGAGGAATTCTGCAACCTGCCCAAGAATGTCCCTTCCCACCTGGGGTGGTGATAGAGATCTGGGAACCCTTGTCAGCTAATCCACTGTCCCCCAGGGCATTACTGGCCAGCAGCCAGACCCTGTATCGTGTAGAAGGCTGCAGCCCAGTCAATGTGAAGGTGGTGGCCTGGGGTGGCAGGACATCCATGTAGAGGAACCCTGGAGTCCCCAGGGCCTCATACCTGCACAAAAGGGAGGGAAGTCATTCAGGGAGGTGCCCCAGCCCTATTTGCTGCCACCCCTTCCTGCCATGACAAGGACCCACCTGATTCGGAAACTCTGTGGCAAGCCCCCATCAAAGCCAGGCTTCCACTCTAACCCCACTGAGTTTGGGGTCATGCTCATGACCTTCAATCCTGATGGTGGATCAGGGCGGCCTTTGAGATAAAGGATGGGGGATAGAGTCAGAGAATACCGAAGGATTCTGGAAAGATTCTTTCCAGATTTTTTCCTAAGCACATCTTTAAACATACAGTTGATTCTCATTATTCGTGGTGGTTACTCTCTGTAAAGTTGCTGTGAACACAATTAGCAAATACCAAAGCATTCCTTCTAGGGGAAGCGCAGGCTTAGATTTCTGCAAGCCTCTAGTCACAACATTTACATCAACCAGTTAATATGGGATCTGGTTTCATGCATGTTTCTGTTTAAAGATACCTTATTTAGTACATCTTGTTGATTCATTAGCGTTCAACTCAAGGCCAACAGTGCTATAACGCACGCCTGAACGAAGCTTATCCAACACAAGTATTTTCTCCAGACCCCACATCACAGCCTTCTTGAGCTTAGGAATGCTAGACAGCACCTTACCACTGTGCTTGGAGGCCATTTTACACAGCAAAATAACTAACAAAAAGCACAAAAGTGCAAAAAAATGTGGCACTAAATAGACCACAAAAAGGACATTTATTTTCAATCTGAGAGCAGGAGCAGAAGGCAGAGTGTGGTCCTGCCCCACCTCAACTGAGAATGTACTCATTGGGTGACTTAAATTTTTCACCCACTCTGTTCAGTCCCCTGAAAGACCGAGAAAGGAGCATGAATATTGATTTGGGGGTTACAAATAAATTTTTAGCAAGTAGGCAAATTTGCAAATGCAGACTGATAAATAATGAGAATTGACTGTATAATATATATTTCTTGCAGTGGATTTTTTTGCCTACCTCACATCCATCCCCTCTCATTTCTTCTGGTTACAGAGCCCTGAATATCCTTTGTAAAACCACTCACCCACATTCTCAGGCCAGGTGATTCTGACGAAGTGACCCCACCCCTTTCAGGATGGACATGTGACCAGATCTGGCCAACCAGAGCAATGCCTTCCCCTCACCACTTGATTGGTTCAGGGATGGGCTGGGAGCCAAGTGGAGCCCATAAATCTTAATTCTAGTACTTTCATATCACTGTTAAGAAGAGAAAAAATTCTAAGAGAAAAAATTTTGTTTCCCCTGGAAAGTTTAACAGCAGCACTATGAGAAGTCTTAGAATAAAACCAACACAGAGAAAAACAGATCTGAGAAATGGAGAGCTCTTGATGACATCTGAACCTAGATCCAGCGACTCCTGAAATACTACTTTTCAGTTACTTGGGCCAATTGAAAAGTAGTTCTCCTTTTTTTCCTTTGTTGTGGATTTTCCTAAAACTCCAGTCTCCATTTGGGATTTTGAGGGCAGGCAAATCTCCATCTTCATTCATAAACACCTCTCAGGTTGCCATTCTGGGGCCAACCAGAGACTTGGGGAGACTCAGGGAAGCACCCTCCCAACACCCTCACAGCCCCCTCCCACCATACTGATGCTGACGAGTTGAATGTTGGTATGGTCTGAGCCGAGGGGGTTGGTGGCTGTGCACGTGAAGAGGGCATAATCCTGGGCTGCAGACACATTGGCAATGGTCAGAAGGCTGCTGTGGACACCACCCTGGTGGTATGTGTGCTCCGTGTACCTGGAGTGAAGGTGTGGCAGGGACTTAGGCAGGGTGATAGGGGCTGGGGGATCAATGTTAGGGCTGGAGTGCTACCTGACTGGGCTTGGACTCACCTTGGATCTTGGAGATCCAGAGGGACCCCGTTTTTGCTCCAAGTGAAGACGATATTGGGGACACCCCGGGCTCGACAGTGGAGGGTGGCAGAACTAGTGCTGTCTCCAGCTGCAGCCACCTTAGTTAGGGGAGCTGGATGCTCCACGTGGGGGGCAACTAGAGGGGTTGTAGGTCAACATCAGGTATATGGAAGGACATGATATATAGATTTAATGGCAGGTCTTGAAGTCAGGGCTTTGGATGTTACTTACATCTGACCACAAGACGGACCAGCCCTCGAGCTGGAGGTGCCACCCCATTGTCCACGATGCACTGGTAAGCACCAGCCTGGGTCAGCTTGGCATGGTGAATTCGAAGACGCCCAGTGGATCCCTTTGACATATTTTCCATGTCATCCAGGCTCTGATCCTCCGCCTCTTCTCCCTGGAGGCTCAAAACTCAGCAAATGGGCCCCCAGTCTGTCTCCAGCTCCATTATCCTGCAAACTGGGTCCTATCAGTAGCCTCATTCTCCCAGCCGTAATCATCCTCCCTAGCAAGGAAAAAAATTCCCCTTGTCATCCACCCATTCATCCATCCATCCATTTATCCAACATTTCATACATAGATCCGTCCATTCATCCACCAATCCAGCCAACCCCTCACCCATCCATTTCTCCAACCATTTATTCTTGGAAACACCTATCCACTCATCCGTCCATTTGACCACCCACCACTCATCAATTCATCCATTTATCTATCCATCCATCAACCTCTTCTTCCATCCATTCACCCATTTATTCATTCAACCATTTGTCTTCCTTCTATCTGTCCATCCACCTGTCCACCTCTCTGCCTATCTACCCAGTCTATTCACTCACATATGCACACACCAATGTATCTGTTCACCAATTCATCTAGCTACCTATTTATTCATCTCTCTGTCTTCCATTGACCTATGCATCCCTCCATCCACCCATTCATTCATTATCTTTCCACAAACGTTTTTTCACTGATGGTGTATCTATCCATCTATCTACTCTCTAACTGAATTCATTTATCTACTTATTTCTCTCATTCATTCATCCAGCTGCCCATCTATTGATCCATTTATCCATTCATTCACTTGTCCATTTGTCCACCTGTTCTTCTATTCACTCATTCACCCTGTTCATCCACCCATCTAACTATGTCTATCCATATATCCATCCACCTGCCCACCCACTCACCTGGTTATCTATTCACTCATCCATCCACCCACCCATCTGCCATTCAATAGTTAGTTCTTGGAGCATGCCCCCAAAATACATAATTAAACAGGGTCATATAGATGTGATCCCCTCTTCTCAAGGAACTCACAGTCAAGAAAGCACATCCCCCAGCCCCTACTTCCATTTGGCAAAGGTTGGATTCTTACCAGCCTCTCCCAGTTGAACATCTCCGGAAGGATGGGATTGGCATCAACCGTGCAGACTATGTCCACAGAACCCCCAATATTCACCTCAGTGGGGTCTTGGAGAGCTCGAATAGTGGGAGCATCTAAGGAAGACAGGAGCTTGAGGAAGGCATTTGGGCCCAGACAGGCCATGGTGGAAGAGGGTCCCAGATGGGAGAGGTGTCTTAGAGGTGCCCAGGAAAGTTACAAGTGTGATAAAGTCTGCCTTTGGAGTTAAGTTCTCAGGGTTAATGAGACTGTTCCCACCATCTACTGTGCCATTGTGGTGAGAAGAGTAGTTTTGGTAGACTTCTAGGATTGTGTGGAAGTGAGGCTTCCACAGTGGGTTTGGCTTCCTGATGGAAATGGGTGGGTAGAGCTTCTACATAGGGGCAGGTTTCCCAAAGTGGGTGTGGCACCATCACAGTGGGGGTCTCTGAGAGTAGGGGGCTTCCAGCACTGGTGAATATCCCTGGATGGATGGAGCTTCCACAAAAGAGGAGACTCCACAGTGGTCAAGATTTCCTGGGTGGGTGTGGTTTTCGTGATGGGAGGGGCTCCCAGAGCTCCCCAGTTTCCTAGGGTTAGGAGGGGTCTCACAGTGTACATCCAGCCTCACGAGAGCTTCAGCGGTGCCCTCCGAGTTCTGGCAGTGCAGCTGATAGAGGCCATCGTCAGCGCGGGTCACGTTCCATAGCTGCAGAGCTCCACCAGATAGGATCCGATGCCGGGGGCCACCAGCTGGGGAAAGTCAAGGTGAGGGGTCTGCCAGACCCTCCCGTCCGAACATTCCGGAGAAGTCTCCATCCCCCCTCCTTGCACCTGGACTGAGGCGGTAGCCGCGGAAGGTCCAGTTGAAGGCTTCTGGGGCAGGGTTGGCAGACACGGACACAGGCAGCAGTGCCTCCCCCTTCTCCACCGCTGTCACCACAAGCACCTGCTCCCCCAGGAACTCTGGAGGGTCTGCAGAGGAGGCGCAGCCAGGATTCAAAATTGTTAAGGTTGGGATCCGGAGTGGATTTGAGATCAGATGCAGGTATAAGGGTTAAGTTCCGGGTCACGACTAGAGTTTAAGGTCGTAAACAAGGTAAAAATTTCAGAGCTGAGATGCAGGATTAGGTTCAGGATCGAGGTTAGGATCCAGTTTAGAAAAAAGTAGAGGCCAGAGTCAGATTTAAGGATGGGAAGAGGGTTCAGGATGGGGGTCATGGTCAGGGGTTAGGATAGAGGACAAAGGCAAGATGGGGGGTGGGCAGGATAGGAGTTGTTCAGGGTCTGGTGTCAAGATAAAGTTCAGGAAAGTTTCAAGGTTTAGGATGAAAGTCAAGGACAGTGTCAAGGTGAAAACCCACGTAAGTACGGGGTCAGGATGGAATCAAGGAGAATGCCAGGTACATACACAGCACGTTGAGGCGGTAGAAGGCGCTCACGGTTTCCTGCAGCTCGGTGCTGTGAGCGCGGCAGGTCACACGGTGGCCGTGGTCGCGGGGTGACATTCTCAGAAGGACGGTCCTGGCGGCGGCAGAGCCTTTGAATGGAGCACTCTGGGGCCGGGCAGCCACGCTTTCCAGCCTGAGGACCGGACAGGGCGGGGAGCGGGATCAGAGCCAGAGTCTGGGTACTAGGTATTGGGTACTGGGCAGGACAGCAGGTAGGGTGGGGATGGGATTCTGACTGCAAGGAAGCATGACCAGAACCAGCGAGGGACAGGGCCACTCGCAGTCTCACCTCTCCCCCTCTTTGTCCCACGACAAACTGACTGGAGGGTTGCTGCTAACGCTGACGCACGTCAAGTTTAAGGCATCTCCCGGGCGCAGAGTCGACGCGTTGGCCAGGATCGTCACATTAGTTGGGGGGACTTCAAGAACCGGTGGGAGAAGCGAGGCTCAGAGGTGAGGAGGAAGGCTGGCCTGCCTCCGCCTCCGCCTCCGCCTCGACCCAGGCCCCGCCCAGCCCCACGTGTCCGGGCCCTGGGGCGTCCACTGCCCGCTGATCCTCCCCCTCCGCCCACCCCGCCCACTCCCCGCGCCCCTTCCCGGCTCGGGCTCAGTTCCAGGCAGAGGCCAAGCCCTCCCTCCCGGCCCGGCGGTGGGCCCCTCACACTGCACCACAAGCTGCGTGGATGCGCTGAGCTGGCCGGCTTTGCACGTGAACTTGGCCCGGTTGTCCGATGGACCCGTGACCAGCACCAGCTCTCGGGAGAAGGTGCTCCCGGACTTCTCCAGGCTTCCCAGCTGCACCCGCCGTGGCTCCTGAGGCGACCGCGGTTCGGTCACGGTGCGCGAGTCCTGAGGGTCGAGACTGACTTGGGGGACCGCGGGTAACTGCCATTCCCCGCTGAGACCCTCCATTGGGTTGGCTGCAGCCAGCCCAGATAAAGCCTTTGTGTGTTGAAGAAATGGCGTTCCCTTCCACTGGCACGGGCTAGGGTAAAGGAGGGGGACTGGAATTGAGCACACCCCACCGAGAATCTCTCCCACCTACTGAGCCCCTTGAGCCCTGAGATTTTGCTGTCTGATCCTGCCTCCAATCCCACGTCCCACTGTCCTGCCACCTCTACTCTCTGGAGACTTGCAATTTTTTGGTGCCCTCTGCAGACCCTCAGCCCCACTCCTCAAAATCCATTCCAGCTATATCTACGGAACACCCTAGGCCAGGAAACTCCCTTGGAATTCCCAAACCTTTCCCAGAATTCCTTTATTATTTTTTTTCCTACCCTTAGTTCTTTTTCTTTAGAATCTCCACTTCCCTCAAATATTTCCTTTGATCTTTCCCTTAATTTCATTCTCTGGCCGCAGATTTCTGAATATTTCCCCAATATTTTCTTATTATCCTAATCTTTTATTAGAATCTTTTGCTTTGCCCCAATTTTGGGCATTTCCGCAGAATTCCATCCAATTAAATGGAATTCAACTTCACTCCTATACTTCTTAGTCTTTCCCCCAGAATTTCCACTGGATTCCTAATTTCCCAAGATTTTCCCAGAATTCTGTCAGACTTTCTTTCAGTTTTAATGGAATTTCATTGTCTTACCCCCAAATCCCAAGAATTCAATTTCATATTAATGGATTTTCAAGTGTTCTGTGGAATTACTAGTCTTTCTCCCCAAATTTCTAGCCTTTGCCCACCATTGTCTTTGTTTCTGGAATTCTTGGTCTTTCTCTAAAATTTCTGCCATTTCAGTTAAATTTCAAGATTTCACCAGAATTTCCTTTAGTTTTAATTAAATTAATTGCCTTTTCTCTAGAACCCCCAATCCTGATCCAGAATTCCTTCTTTTACTCTAGAATTCTCACATTTTCCCCTAGAATTTCATCTATTTTCCTAAGATTGCATTTGATTTTCATGGCATTTGTGTCTTTTTCAATTCCCTGCCAAAACTCAAAATCTCCAGTATTTTTAAAGAAATATAAGTTTTCCAAGATTTCCCAAGATTCTGGAGGGCAGAAAGGGCTTCACTGTTCCCCCATATTCCTGGCCACTCACAACCCTTGTGTGGCACCAACCTTGTACCAGATGAGGGAAGGGTCTGGGTTCCCTCCAATAGCCAAACACACTAGCCTCACCCGGGTCCCAGCCCGGAGATGCTGCCCCTCTGGGGGGCCCTCGATCCACAGCTTCTGGGCAGGATCTGTGGGGAAAGCCAGGAAGAGTGGCTTTTCTGTCTGGGACAGAGGGTGAGGATAAGGGTGTCCAAGGCATGGGGCACCCCCAGGTGTGGGTGGAGTCTCACATTTCACATTCAGGGTGAGAGACTTCTTGAAGGTCTCCTTGGTAAAGGCCTCACTAAAGGCCTCACACGTGAGAGTCAGACCATTGTCCTCCCGTCGCGCCAGGAACGTCAGGTTTGACATGGAGATGTGGCCACCATACAGGCCCTGGCAGGGAGCAAGCTTCAGACTTGGAGACTAGGGCATCCCCATCAGTGGTACCAGCGACCTGGGTCCACCCCAGATGCCAGCAGGACACATGAAGAATCTCTACTGTCTCCTCTGTGAGACCCAGGAGGCCTGAGCCCCAGTCCACACTCCCCAGGAACCAAGGCATCCAAACTGCCAGCCCCCCAATCCCAGATCCAGGAATTGTACTCTCAGCTCCCTCCTCCCTCAGACCCAGGAGCCTGGCCCCCGCCTCACATCCATGACTGTCTCCTCTGTGGGGAGCAGCTGCCGCCAGCCTAGCCACCATCGCAGCAGGACCCGTGGGCGGCTGGACTTGGTGATGCAAGAGAGGGTCACATTCTTGTTCTCAGACTGGGATGCAGATCCCAGGATTGTAACGGCACTGGGAGGGACTGCAGGGATGATGAACAGAGGAGAGACACTAAGCTGGGCTGGATGGCTCACAGATCAGCCCAGACAGACAGGAGACTGGGGACAGATGATGAGGTCTTTGGCATCAGACAGGCATGATTTGGGGGCAAGAACAGATGGTTCTCTGGGGCACAGACTAACAGATGGGCAGCTGGCACCAGGACTCACAGGTGACCTGCAGTGTGACCCCGCGTTCCTGGATCCCTGTAGATACGCTGTTGTGGGCCTCACAGCTGAGCCTCGCCCCATGGTCTTCCGGCCGCACAATCATGACTAACAAGCTGCGGGCCACGCCTGAGCATGCTCTGTGCCCCATGCTGTGGACACGGGCTGGCCATTCTGGAGATAAGGACAGGCCTGGGCCAGCTCAGGGCCAGCTCCCGGTCCCCGCCCTCCCCCCCCACCTCCATTCCTGCCTCTGCCCTCACCTTCAGCCACTGCAGTGTGGCTGGTGGATTCCCTCCTCGGGCTGTGCACAGCAGCTCCAAGCTCTGCCCTGCCCGCACGTGCCCCTCATCCAGGCCTGGCCACTCAATCACAGGGGGTCCTGGGGGGACTGGGGAGCAGCAGTCACTCAGGGGGCCTGGGGAACCCATCCATTCTTTCCAGACCCCACAACCTGCCTCTGAACCCTCTTGTTTCCCCCTTGAGATCCTGAGACTTCCATAATCCCCAGGCTCCCCAGGACCCCCAATTCCTGTTCCCCATCCCCAGTGCCAACAGCTGACTCAGTTCCCCACTTACACAGAATATTCATGGTGACTGAAACCTTGATAGGGGTTTCCAAAGCTGGGCTGGATGCCTCACAGACCAGTAACTGCCCATTATCCGAGCTCTGAGGTGTAACCCTGGAGTGGGAAGTTGGGGTTCTGAAGTCAGAGTCATCCTATGAAATTTGGGGAGTCAGGATGAAGAGGTGGGGATCCCAGGTCCCTACATCTGGTCTAAGTCTCTCTGCTGATTTCCTTTAGAATCTAGCATTCCATGGAAGAGATCTGGGGGGTCAGCTGTGAGAACTGAGGTCCCACAGGCCCATCCCTGGCCAAAATATTTCTACTTGGTACTCTGGAACTGTTGTTCCCATGAAGAAGCTTTAGAGCGTCGAGGTGAAGAATTGGGTCCCAGGTGTTCATACCTGACCCAAGATGCCATGCTTGCATCCCTGGAATATGGGGTTTTCATGGAAAAATTTGGGAGTCAGACTGAGGGGAGGGCATCCTGAATTCCATACCTGGCTGTAGCCTCTGTGGTGAAGAGTTTCTCCCGGGACCCCTCATTCACGTTAGCAGAGATGTCAGAAATGGTTTTTCCACCTTGGGGAAACAAGAGGGCTGGGGCGGGTGCCAAGATTCCCTCCAGGTAGATCCTGGGGAGTGTGGCCTGGAAGTCCTCAGGGGGCCCCCTCCCTCCTGGTCCCAGAGGAAAAGCACTAGCTCCGTTCCCTCCACACATTCAGGCCTCCCTGAATCTTGGAGTCCCAGGGCTGGGTCCTAGCATCTCCCCTCCCCTCCCACCCACTCCTTGCCAGGTTGGATCGCCCACTCCCATCACCTTGGCTTCTTGTTTCTGCACCAAAAAGGACATTCGTATCTCCATCTAAGAGCCTCAGCCTCTTCCCTGAGTCCCAGTCCAGCAGTTCCATGAACTCCTTGGTGATTTTCCCTGGATGTCCCCTCCCACCCACCAGGTCCCACACTGGCCTCAGCATCTCCCCCAAGTCTGCTCCTGCATCCCTATCTCAGGAATGCCATTTTTTCTGGGGCCCGTAGGAGGGACCGGGGCAGAGACACACTCCCTCCCCATCAGTTCACCCACACTCACTCTGGAGGAAGGCGATGTCAGGTGCTGGCTTTGCATCCCCAGACACACAGCTGACAGTGTACTCCTGCCCAGCTACCCACGTGACCATGCTCCCTGCCTCAGGGGTCAGCTGAAGCACCTTGGGGGGCACTGGTGAGAAAGGATCTGGGGTAAGCTGGAACCAGCAAGGAGGATATGAGGATTTGGGCTTGGAGTCTCATGGCTCCTGAAATGAGTTCTGCACCCTGGGTCTGAGGAAGGAGGAGCTGAGGGCTCGGGCTCCTGGGCCCTGGAGAAAGTGAGGGTGGAAGTGTAGACTCATGGGTCCTGGGACTCTCTCACCCATACCCAGGACGGAGAGGATCACTCTGGGCGACACAAGCTCAGGGCCTGTCTCTGAGCGGCCGACCTGGCACTCATACTCTGCGTCGTCGCTGAGGTCACACTCTTCAATGTGCAGGTGGAATTCACCTGCAGGTAGGACCCAAGGTCAAGGCCACAGTCGGTCTCTGCCGGTGGTTCCAGATCTCAGGCTCTGGTCCCTTACCTCTAGTGGGGTCCCCTTCCAGGCGGTACCGCGGGAAGCCAGGGATCCTAGGATCAGGGCCGAGCAGCAGCCCATCTTTGGCCCATTGCACCGCGCTGCCAGGGGAGCTGACCCCACACCGCAGCTCAGCCGCGGCCCCCTCCACCACCGTCAAGTTTTCAGGCAGAGCCCAGAAGCCTCGGGGGGCCGAGGCTGGGATCGGCACCTGGGCCAGGCCTGGGGACGCAAAGGTGTCAGGAGGAGAGGGCAGAGGGTCTGTCTGGAGAATGTGGGTGGGAATTTGGGCCATTTGGCTCAGGTCATGGGCCATGAACCCACTCACCTGTCATCAGCAGCTCCATGAGGAGAAGGGGAGCCATTATGGGGATCCTCGGGGCCATCCCAGGTCCTCTGCCTGTGGCTCCCGCAGAGCCCACCTCCTGCCTCCTGTTTCTGCCTCTGCCTCTCTCTGGGTCCCTCTCTCTAGGTCTCATCTCTTTGTCTCTCTTTTTCTATTTTCTCCTTTTTCTCTGTTTGTCTCTCTTCCCAGGAGTCAGTCTCCCCGGCCCCACGCCCTCTCCTTCTGTCTCTCTCTCTCTCTCTCTCTCCCTACCCTAAGTCCCCTGCATGCTCCCTCCTGGATTCTCTCTCTTCCTCCCCCTGTCTAAGGTGCTCTCTTTCTCTTTCTCTCTGAGTCTCTATGTCCCTCCTAGTCAGTCTCTATTTTTCTTTCTTCTCTCATGCCACCTCCACCCCTGGTCTCCTCTCACTACTCACAGCCCCTCAGAGAGGACACAATGTTCAGAGTTCAGCAGGTTCCATGAGCCCCAGAGAGCAATGATGCGGTCAGTGGCAGAGTTGTTGTCAGACCCAGTGGAATCTCATGCTCACACTGCTACCTCCCCCAGGCACACTCCCAAGTCTCCAGCTTCAGGCCTATACACAACAGGCTCCTCCCAGCACAGCTGGAGCTAGAAATCCCCTGTCAGCACATGCCAGGCACATTCTTGGGTGCCTCCCCTGCCCCCATGACCTCCAGGGCCTGGCTTGGGCCAGGGGTGAGGGGGAGCTGGTCAGACCCAAGTGGTCCCAGCTCAGCATGGGGAGCAGAGAGCTGGGCCTGGCATGGGGGTAGGACTGCCCCACTCTTCCTGCCCTGGTACGTGACCTTCAAGTCCCTTCCTTCCCTGAGTGGACATCTCACTCTCTGATGTCAGGGAGCTCTGCCGGAGACTGGGCAGAAGTGTATGTGAGAGGTTGGGAGAGTGCAGGTATCTGTGTGCACGTGTGTATGTAAAGGGAACATGAGTGCATGAGCGTTCATGTGAGCCCGGGGAAGGTGAGAGTGAATTGTGATCTGTGGAAGCGTGTACAGAGTGTATGAGTGGATAAGTGTCTAAAGAGTAAATGTGCAGGGCAGTCAGAAGGGATGGGAGTGAAAGGCAGGATTAAGGCCATCAGCGCTGAGCTCAGGTGGGAATCCTTTGGCTAGAGCCATGAGTTCTTGTTCACGTAGCTTCCCTCTGTCTCTCCCAGCCTCTTCTTTCCTTCTGAGTATCTCTGTCTCTTCCTCTCTCCCTCAACCCACCTCAATTTATCTTCCTATCTCTCACCATCGCTTTGAGACTTTCCTGCTCTGTCTCAGTGTCTCCCGCCACGCCATACTCGGCAGTTACATCTCAGTCACCTTTAACTCTGTCACTGTCTAGGCCTCTGTGTGTCTCTGTTTTCCTCTTTCTGTCTCTTTTCTCATCTCTGTCTCTCCCACTCCATACTCTGTCTCAATAAATATTTGTTCTCGGTCAGCCTTTGACTATGCCTCTTCCTTTTATTTGTTTCTCCATCTCTGAGTCCTTCTGATTGTCACATCTTTGAATTTTATAACCATATGCTGGCTGGCCTGCCCTCCCCACCCCAGCGTGGACATACACACCCACAGGGGATAAGCTTCTTCTGCCCGCTTATCTCCTACAGGAATTGGAGCTGCCCGTTTTCTCTCTCTCTCTTCCCCCGTGACCCCCCATCTGGCCCTCCTCCAGGAATAAGATGAGGCAGCTGGCCTGAGCCCCACAGCTCCATCCTTGATGCTCCCTCTGGTGTTTCTTCTTCCCTCCCCTTACTGACTCCTTGCCCTCCTCCCACATCCCCTCTCCCAACTGCCCTGTGCCTCCTGGGGACTGAACTGGATACAGAGCCGGGGGTTCTGTCATAAGGTCGTCACCAGATGGTGTCCCTCAGGGTCACCGTGAAAAGCTGTCCATTGCTGGGATCTTTAATTAGCACAAACCTTCCACCCTCCACCTTGGATATTTTTCTTCTTAGATGCTCCTGAGACCTCAGGCTCTCTATCTTTCCACCTCTGTGGCCCCAGAGACAGGAAGAGGAAGCGATATCAGGTGTCTGGAAAAAATAGCCTTACTATCTGACTCAGGTGTCCTGGCTCCAAGCTCAACCTATTTCAAAAGCCAGGGACTAGATCCCCAAACCCAGAAGCCAGAAGTTCTAGAAGTCTGGGACCCCTTGGACCCACTCTTCTCAGATTCAGGATTCCAAGCCTGCAGCCCTCTCTCCCCAAGGACCGGGAAGTTCAGGCCTCCAATCTCCCCCCTTCCCACTCCCCGCCCATAGGACTTAGGGCAGATGTTCACTGTCTGTTGATTTTCAAATCCTCCTGGGCCTGTGTAGGGGTGGGAGAGAGATTGGTGGTTAAATCCACTGACTCTAAGACTTAAGATCAGATTTTCTGACCCCCGGTCATCCTCTCCCAACTGCACCCTGCTGCAGGCAGAGGACCTAATTGAGTCCCCAACTCTTAAGAAACTCGGAGTTCAGGCCATTGGCTTCGCAGTCATCAGAGGTCTGAATTCCCAGGCTTAGAATCCTGGGCGTCCATGCCCCGCTATTAAGGGACACAAGAATCTGAGCTCAGGAACAACAGAGAACCTGAGTGTGGCTCCCCAGTCCCTACAGGCTCCAGGATGTCAGTCAGATCCACGGTCCTAGGCCCCCGGCCCCGCCCCCCTCTGGCGACTCGGGGTCCCACCCACCTGTCCCGCCAGCTGCGCAGCGCACCGCCAGCCCGCAGCGTGGGAACGCCCCAGCTGGGCGGCATGCAGCCGTCAGGACAAGCTGCGCAGTTCCCAGCCTCCCGGCCTGCCCCAGCCCGGGCACCGCCGCCTCCCAGCCGTCGCCCAGCAACCGCTGCTGAGTGGGGCGAGGGGGGTGGTCCCGGTCTGTGGGGGTCCTGGGACCGGAGGGGCTGAGGGGCCTGGATTCCTGGATCTTAGGACGCTATGGTTTGCAGCGGTAACAAGGCAGGAAGAGGAATATTCTGAATAGGGGTTTTGAGGTGGGGAGAACTGAACCCCCTTTCTCAGAGGTCCCAGCTGCCCCCCCCCAGAGAAACCCTGTGCCCTTTTCCTGACCCTCAGACCCAGGGGAGCCCCGGGCCCCGCCTCCCCAGGGCGCGGAAACTAGCAAGTCCCCAAGGGTTCCCATTTATAGCTCCGTTTCCACTCAGCGAGGTCCCTCCAGGACCCGAGCTGAGCAAGTTTCTTCCACTCCCTCCCCTCCCTCCTCTTCACTCTCAGCCACCCACCAACCCCGACAGGGTACAGGTGTCCAACCCAGCCGGGACTCCTTCCTTCCACCCAGGTGTTCCAGCTCCCAGACCGAAAGGGAGCTGGGGCGTCCACCCGCTGGGGGGATTCTGCCCTGCGTGCCCCCATTCATCCGCGTCTGGGCCGCGGGAGTTTCTCAATGGGAAGAGGGCGGGTCTCCCAGGGGGCGGGGCGGGGCGGGGCGAGTAGGATCAAGCCCTCCCGGATCTTTCCAAGAACCTGCGCGCGGAACTGGCCAGCGTTTCAGAGCCTCGGAACCTGCGGCTAAGCAGATTAGGGGAACTTCAGGCCAGAGAAAGGGGGACCTCTAGCCTGGGGCGAAGAGTCGGGAGCGAAGGGATCTCCAGGCCAGAGTGGTGGGAGGTGTGCTCCCGAGGAAACGGCTGGCAGGAAAGCCAGTGCAGCAAATCGCCTGGACCTTAGGGGACACACGCTCACGATGCTGGTTCCCACGTTCCTGGTCCTCTTCTTCTGCCTCAGAGGGCGTGCAGGTACCGGGAGTGGCGGGGACAGATAAACATAGATGAGAATTCTTTGCCAGCTGCTGCTTTACTGGGGTGGGTGGGCCTGAGGTCTCGTACTCCTAGGTCTGAGGGCGGAGAACTCCGGCTTCTGGATCTGATGAAAGGGCGGGCTGGGGACTGGACTCCCGGGTCCTGAATGAGGAAGTTCTTGAATGTGCCAAGCTCAGCTCTGCTCCCGCCTCACTCCTTTCTCCTAGGCCTGTCACCCCATTTCCTACAACAGCCTGAGGACCTGGTAGTACTTCTGGGGGATGAGGCCCGGCTGCCCTGTGCCCTGGGCGCATACTGGGGGCTGGTTCAGTGGACTAAGGATGGGCTGGCTCTCGGGGGCGAAAGGGACCTGCCAGGTGAGACTGTTCTCCCTATTCAGGGAGGGGTTGGCTCCAGGGTGAGGGTGCTGGGCTTGTGCAAGGACTGAGGTTTCTATTTTGACATTTTTAAGTTGGGGTAGTTAATGCGCTCAGGTAAACATTTGGGAGTCCTGTATTTTCAGCTTTTCTGGAGGTGACTTACAGGGTTTGGAGATTTTAATTTTTATTGTAAAATATTACATAAATGCAGAAAAACACATAAAACATAAATGGAAGGTTTGTCAAATAATTCTACCATAGACATGCGTGTAACCACTACCGAGGGTCCATTGCCAGCTCCCAGAAGCCCTCCTCACTCCCTTCCCACTCCCTTCTCACCCAAGAGGTGGCATCTAATTTGACCTTTATGGCGATAGTTTTCTTGATTTTTTTTTAAAAATTTATCACCCCCAAGCTGCAGTGATTCTGGATTGGGAGAGGGTTACTGTTTCTCTGGCCCAGCACCCATGTTTGGTAGTGTTTTTCTGGTATGAGATGTCTAGGAATGGAGGCCTGGGGCCAGGAACTCACAAACATGGTTTGACTGCCTCTTCCCTGACTCCAGGGTGGTCCCGGTACTGGATATCAGGGAATGCAGCCAGTGGCCAGCACGACCTCCACATTAGGCCTGTGGAGCTAGAGGATCAAGCATCGTACGAATGTCAGGCTACACAAGCAGGCCTCCGTTCTCGACCAGCCCAGTTGCATGTGTTGGGTGAGGATCTAGCCCACTCATCCCCAGGGAGCCCTGGGGCACCACCAGTGCTAACTGGGAGTCTGAATCCAGGAGAATGGAAAAATGGCGGGTTAGAGCTGGGAAGATCAGGGTTTCTGGGCCAAGGATCTAGCTCTGACCCCAGATCCACCCCCACAGTGCCGCCAGAAGCTCCCCAGGTGCTGGGCGGCCCTTCTGTGTCTCTGGTTGCTGGGATTCCTGCGAATCTGACCTGTCAGAGCCGTGGGGATGCCCGCCCCACCCCTGAGCTGCTGTGGTTCCGTGATGGGGTCCGGCTGGATGGGGCCACCTTCCACCAGGTCAGGTCCAACACTCTGTGCCAGCCCTTGCTCATTCAGGGAAATTTGGGAGTCCACTCAGACCATAGGCTCATCCAGAAGAGAAAAAGCAATGGGAGGGCAGGGATTCAAAGCCTGGGATCCTTGGTATGTGATTAAGGATAAGGGCTCTAGGGCCAGACTACCTGGGTTCAAATTCTGACCCAACAATTCACCAGTTGATTGATCTTAACCTCTCTGTCCCTCAGTTTACTTGTCTGTACAATGGGGTCAATTGTAGTATGCACCTCTAGGGTAGTTGTGCAGATTAAATAAAGTAGTATTTATAAATGCCTAGAAGAGTGCTTGACATAGTAAAGTACTACATAAGGGTAGGTGAAATTATTATTA